AAAGGGTTCACATACTTTTTCTTGCAACTGTAAATATACACTGATATATAGAAAATAAAATATATAAGTAAATTTGTAAAAATTTGTTTAATAGGACTTAAGTTAAAACCTTCTGCTCCCTTTTGTCTCTTATCATCTACAAATTTTAAGAAGTAAACAATGGAGAAGATTAAGAAAGGGACCTAAGGGTAAGGAGGAGAAGGAGATGTCTGGGATATATTTATGATGACAAGAGTACCAAAGCCTGAAACAGAGTAGCATTAGCTAAAAATTCACAAGGCAGGTACACTGAAATATAAAAAAAAACTCTGTCTATCCTAAAATATCTCTAACTACAAGAATCATATTATAACTTTTTATAAACTTCCAATATGGATATTTTTTTCTATCTAGGGTGGTGATAAACATTGTTGTAACTACCACTAGTTGTTCTTAAAACTCTGGAAATTATATTCTTTTATTTTTCACATGCTCTACAGCAACGTTTCCCAATTGGTGTTGAACCCTAGAGTTTCCTTGAGAACAAAATTGGGGCTCTGCAGTGATTTGCCCATTGGGTGGCCCAGGGTACTTAGGGCCACCAGATTGGTATAGCTGAACATGGGCCCGGTCAGGCTCCACAGCCATTTAAGAGCATGACAGGGCCCTTGTCACTTCCTTCAAGAAAAAAAGCACGCTAAGCGGGACAGGGAGAGTGAGCGGCAGCCAGCTGCACACCAGCCTTAGCCAGCACCCTGCAGCACTCCAAACAAGTCCTGCAGAAAAAAGGTAATCTAACAGGAGGGTAACAGCAAATATAAACATTATAACCTGTGTGTGTGTGCGCGTGTGCATGTATACGTGTGACTATTTGTATCCAAGTGTTTGTGTCGAAGTGTGTACCTGTGTCAATGTGTTTATGTGCCAGTTTGTGTATCTGTGTGTCAATGTGTGTGTGTGACAGTATGTGCATCTGTGTTACAATTTGTGCATCTGGGTGACAATGTGACAGTGTGTGTATCTGGCAGTGTGTATGTGCCAGTGTGTGTATCTGTTAGTATTTGGCAGTGTGTGTAGCTGTGTGTGTATGTTCCAGTGTGTGCATCTGTGTTTCAGTGTATCTGAGTGTGCCAATGTATTCATCTGTCTGTGTGTGTATTTGAGTGTGTGCGTATGTGCTAGTGTGTATCTGTGTGTGTGTGTGTGTGTGTGTATCTTTGTGCCATTGTGTGTATATGTGTGTCAGTGTGTGAATCCATCAGTGTGTATATCTAAGTGTGTATGTGCCAGTGTGTGTATGTGCCAGTGTGTATATATAAGTGTGTGTGTATCAGTCAGTGTGTATATCTGAGTGTGTGTGTATCATTGTGCCAGTGGGTGTGTGTATCAGTGTGTGTATGTGTGTGTGTATCTGTATGCCAGTGTGTATCTGTGTGTGCATGTGGCAGTGTGTATCTGTGTGTCAGTGTGTGTGTGTGTAGGTAACAGTGTGTTTGTACCTGTTTTTGTATGTGCCAGTGTATCTGAGTGTGTATGTACCAGTGGGTGTATCTATCTGTTTGTGTATCTTTGTGCCAGTGTGTGTATATATGTATGTCAGTTTGTGTATCTGTGTCTGTGTGTATGTGCCAGTGTGTGTATGTGCCTGTCAGTGTGTATATGACTGTGTTTGTGCATCAGTGTGTTTCCATGTGTCTTTCTGTAGGTTAATGTGGATGTATATCTATGTACATGTGTATGTGCAGACATCCCAGCATATAAAAAAACTCAAACACACCCTTCACTCACACACCAATACTACACACAAATGTAAATCCGCATTTAAAATCCAACACTACTTTCAAACACACCATAGCACATAAATGCAAGCATAACAAACACAAACCTGCTAAAATTATATACAAACACCAACACTACACACAGAAGCACACCTGCTACAAAGTACTACAATCTGTTTACGATCTGTGGAAATTTGCCAAAAAATAAAACTTTACGCTTTGTTAATTAAAAGTTTTGTTCTACGGTGCAACATTTTTTTCAGGTGGTTCCAAGATGTTAGTACACTATGTCAAAGGGTTCCACAGGAAATTCTAATAGAGAAACCCTGCTCTACAGACTTCCACCTATTACTTTTCTAAACTCTGTCCTTCACAGGACAATTCCATTAATTTCCATAGTGACTTCAAGTTTTAGAATGTTGTCTCCTCAATATTTCATTATAAATAACCTCAACATATCATTTTAGGTGTTTGAATTCAGTGTAAGACACGCACTGAATGCTCTTTTTGGCGGTTGCCTTTCTTCACCCAATCCAATTTGAATGATCTTTTATCACTGTGCTGAGTATTTTTTTCTCTGCCAATGAAGGGGTTATGTGTTTTCTACCAAGGTCCAGCTCTGAAACAAGTGAAACATTTAGTCAGCTCAAGGTACAGATCCACAAATCACAAGGCTTGCAGATTTTACACACCTACACCTCAGAGCTTTAAATCACTTAATAAGAAGAAAAATACACACATTTCAGATTATTGCAGAAATCATTCTGATTTAGAGGCATCATATAAATAATTGGCAACAAACATTACCTATAAATAAATACCCAGTAAGTAATTCTCAAAAAGGCAAAAACTACACATTAAGCCATACAATCTTAAACTTTCAACTCTCTCATGTTACCAAGTGACATGTGTATTTTTAGTCGAATTATGCGTGTGCGTATGTGTGTGTCGGGGGGGGAGGAGTGGAGGGGGTGGGGCGGAGGAGGGTTATAGTGCTATTTTAAGTAGAATGTATGCCACTGCAATTGAATTTCATAATTTGGGAGATAACTAAACACCACAAAAAATATATAATAATAAAAATGATAATGTGATTCCTTAGGCAGAGTGTTTTGGTAGGTGTCACAAAGCATTGTTTGTGGGGTAGATCTCAGAAAGAAAGATAGGCTACTTGGCAGAGAGAATATGCTAGTCAGGAATATCTGAAATTTAACAAATTAAGGCCTCAACTGAAATTGTTGGATACACTTTTGAAATGATTTAATATTATAAAACATAGTTTCATTTAGAAATATTTTTATAACTTTTGATATATTGCTAAAGATATACATATAACTTTTTTTTTTGTAGTGCTGTGATAATGCTGACAGGTAAAGACATCATAAACATATAAGCTGTATCAATAGAAATATAATCGAGAATACTGCACAATTTTCCAATTTTATATATATGCTCATCTAACTAGAAAATCCTAGACCTAGAACTGCACTAGATAGCATGCATAGCAGTTTGGTAGCTGTTATTCACTAGATGCAAAATAATAGTACAACATAAAATGAGCATAACTAAGGCATGTTAACGTAAGGAAAATAAAATGGAGGATATAGCTCAAAACAAAAGCTTTAAAAAGACAAATGTGTAAACCGCACAGAGACTAATCAACTCAGGTTTGCAGTAATGTAGTGGCCCAATTGGTAATTTTAAAATAACAAAAACACATAGAAAAGCCTGAGGTGGAGGGGGTTTGCCATCTATGCAGCCATCCAGCAGTCAGGCTCCACCCATTTTTTATATATGATATATTTATTCATATTTTAATAAAAAAATAAATTTTGTAAACTGTTTTCAAAAATATGAAATGATTTGGAAAGCTTATCGAACAATATTAAATCAAAGCCTAAATCAGAATTTTAAATTTGAGGTTAAAATAGTTGATTTGGAAAAACGTTTTTGTGATGAAGGTAACCTCGTCACTGGCTTCTGGTGGGGCCTGTTTGCCAGCCTCCTACCCTGGGACTATGGCCCCTGTGCTAAACCCTGATTAAAATCACTGTGCATGCCTTTTTGTACTTGTATGGCCACTCTTCGAACTTTCAAAGCGGTTCTTCGAATTACCGAACAACCGCACGAACCAGATACCACCCTGGAGTTTGTTAACACCTATTAACAACTTGGAATGTTTCTCACCACAGTGTTCTAATTGTTCGTTTGGGTGGCCGCAATTCCTATGGACAACCACAAGGTGGCGGCTTTCTTGTTCATATGAACGCTGGCATCGTGTTTGGGCATAAATCTCATGGAAGTAAAATCGGAAACTCCCGAACACCGCTGGACTTCCATCATCACCTGCGTTTGATTCTATTCAACTTAGAATGGCACTGTTCGGTGAGATCATTCATCTGTATGAGGGGAACAAGCTCCAGGGTAAGACTACTACTGTTTGGAAGTTTGTTAATTTAAACTGAGATTTTACCCCTCCATGAAGTCTTGGCTCATGTTTGGGGGATTGGAGAACTATATTCACTCTGGGGATTGCTATGTCACAATACTCCCCTGGGTATAATCGCTAGATCTTATAAGAGCTGTTCCTGCTATACTCTCTGGAGTAAGAGGTTCGCCCACTGGAAGCTGGATTCTGGTCTTGCGTCCACGGTGGGTGGACGACGGCGAGATCCCTAACCAAGCTGCAGCGGTTTGTGGGGTGTACGGTGGCTATGGTGTTCCAGTGCAGTGCTTATGGTGCTCGCAAGTACTAGGAAGCAGCGATTGACGGAGGTACCCGGTCAGGGTGCCAGGCGGTCCGTTACAGTTTTCAATTTATCACAGGTTACAGATTGGTTCTTTTAGCTTTATTTTTCCAGTTTGGATTTAAAGAAACACTCTAAGCACCATAAGCACTACAGCACACATTGTCCAGCCCTACACCCCATTGTAAGAAGTCAAACTTTTTTTGGATGATTTTACTTCTTCCCTGACGTCTGCTGAACTCGGCTCCCTACCTCCTCTACATCAGCCAAATCTTCTTAGGAGTTTTTGTTAGCTCTCCTGAGCTGGGCTCTGCAGTGCAGGGCTAGATCAAAGTTCAGCTAATTGGTCTCAGTGTATTGTGGTTATGGTGCTTTGGAATGTTTTTTTAATCTGCTAAAATTCAGAATCAGTGAAACACAGTAAATCAGTGACACACAGTTTGTGTACGTATGTGTTAGAGACAGTGAGTTTGTGTGTTTGATTGGTGTAGTATAAGTGTGTAACTGTGTGTAGACATGTGGAGAACAACGTAGTAAGTATGTGGATCAATGTCATTGTGTGTTACTGTATGTGGTGTTATGTGTGTCTAGATAAGAAACATGGCCAGTGCAAGGCTTTATCTATTCTATGCAAACAATTGCTTTGCAATCTCTTTGGATTTGGGGTTGTTCTATTGGTCTCAAATATTTGCATTATATAAGTGCTGCCTGTCGGTGTTTACCACTCATATGCTGCACAACAGTGATCTACAGTTAACCCATTCCATACCAACCAATGTGTATATGGGATAGAGTTCATTATACACTGCCAAGAAATAAAGAGTGAAATTTAGCCCATTAAGCTAAATAATGTATCTGTGTTTCTACTAGTACAATGTATAGATTATATTTCATGCACTTCAATTTAAACCTAAGTAGTGTGTATCATGACTGCTACACTATAAGGAGCCCATTAGCTTTTTTTTTTCCTTTCTCATAACTTATAATTTACATATTATTTGTTCTGTACAAGTTATAAAGACTGACAAGAGAGGATGGAAATTGATTCTCTGCTAGAATGTATATGGATGTAAATGTAGTTTTGAATAAATTAAAGGAACACTATAGTGTCAGTAATATAAAGGCGCATTCCTCACACTATAGTGTTAAAACTGCCCCCCTTTTAAAATTTTTTAAAAAATTACCTTATTTGTAATGCTATGTGGATCCGCCGCGGCTGGCTCCTCCCTTGATCCGCCTCCTTGGCTGAGATCATCACTATTGCTGATCTGAGCCACTCCGATGCTTTTGCTAAATGCTGCGGTGCTCCAATCAGCATCTCTTCATAGAGATGCACTGAATCAATCTCTGTAATGAACATTAAGTGCCTTCATGCAGACCGTGAAGACGTTAAATGTCATTGATGACACAGGAAGCACCTCTAGTGGCCATCTAAGTGACTGCTGCTGGAGGTGTCCTGAGGCAGCAATGTAAACATTGCCTTTTCTTTGAAAAGGCAGTGTTTACATTAAAAAGCCTTTAGGAACTGACTATACTCACCAGAACCAATACATTAAGCTGTAGTTGTTCTGGTGACTAGAGTGTCCCTTTAATATAATAATGATATGAACAGACTAATGAAAAATTCACATGTGCTAGACAGGAATTGCAGATGGTAAAAAGAGCACTGGGATGGACGGCAGCTCAACGAGCTCTAAAAGTAAAAGTAAGTCAACAACATTGGGAGCTGTCTTTATTTCACAGTACCGATGCCTGATATCAAAGAGACAAGTAATATTAACGAGGAGAACTAAGAGAATGAAAGGGTGCTGAGGGGAGACAAAGGGAGCTGAAGAGAAAAAAGGTGAAGCATAGAGTTCTACAACTAGCTTGCCCTAAGCTATAGCCGATAATAGCGGATAATGTCACTATCCTATGTACAAAGCATTCGATGAGAAAATGGTATTATCCAAATGAAGGAGGCACAAGATAGTAAGAAAGAGGCAGGTAGGGAAGGGTTTTACTAAGAAATTTGAAAACACATTTAAAAAAAAACATTACTTGTTATGAAATTATATAGTACCTTGGCATGAAACTCAAGTTTTTTTTGTGATTTTTGTTTGTCTTCTCTTGAAATATTTTGTCTTGGTATGCTTTAAGGAATATTTTTTTCTTGGCAAGATAATTAAGAATGTGGTCCTTTGTGCTTTTTACATGCATAAACTTACCACTACAGTGGTATATATATACTTTATAAGATGTCATAAACCAGCTATTAAGCTACAAATAAAACATGACAGTGTTCCTTTAAAAATAAGTTTACAATGTTTATATGTTTCACTTATTGGGATTATAGGTAGTATTCTGTTATATTTCTTTTCAGATAAGGAGACATTTTGATTGGTAGAGTATCTAAAGATAAAGGACATGTCTGTCATTCAGACATACCAACAGAACAAGTGTTCCAAAGCCCCTTGTCATACTGGAGTGCTGATACTGTATCAGAAAAAAACATGCCAGACATACTGTGTGGATCCTGCAATTATCTAGCAAACAATGGAGCTTTGAATAGAAACATGCTGAAGATGCCCCAGTGCGCTTGGATAAGAGGGCTACTAGTACAAACCAAGTACATATATTGCTAGCTATAAAGCCAGACAAATCTGTTCTATAATAATCTCAACTGCTGCAGTGCATGATAGGGAATATGTGAACATTCCGATCTGTAAATGACCACTTTCAATGTACTAAATGTACTAAATCAGCACCTGCATATTAGTACAATTACATACTAGCATTGAAAACATCAAAATATAACATAAAACTATATACAGTGTAAAATATTGTAGTACTTAGATGAACAAAATAAACTATTCATATACTTAAAATTGACTCTACAGCGTGGATTTACTACTTGTTTAAAATATATTTTAGATACAACACATTGAAAAAAACTGTTAATAATATATTAACTGCTGAATATCCATGAATTTTATTTAATAAATTAAATCTCCTACTTCTAGGGGCCAGGGCAGTGGTTCCCAATGCTTTTCAGGTAAAATTAAAGCTGCTATGTCATCCCCTTCAAAATGAGTATTTCAGGAAGATAAAACCATTTTGACTGTGTTGAAATTTCAGTGAAATTCCAATCCGGTCAAAAGATATACTAAGATACAAACTAGACAAAAAATGAGTTACCTTTTGTCAAACTTGTCATTTCCTCCAGCTGTCACCAGTGACGTCAGTTTCTGGCAGCTGAAGCACCAAGATGAGGATGCAATGGTGCGCTCAAGGGAAAAGTTCTTGTATTAATATAGTTCACCTTCCCCTCCCCCCGGTCACTGGACAATCAACAATGATGTTATCTTCAAGGGTCTTTGCAAATTATGTAAATACATCAGATAATGACAGAGCCACTGTAATAGCCAGGTTGAAAACCACAGTTGTACAGTGATGTTTACAGAAATTTAAAAATGAGCTTTCAGTCGATATTGATGTTCCCATTGGGTATGTGGGTTTATGGAACATGTACAGCATAAAAAATAAATAAATATGAACAACTTAGAAAAATGAATGAACTTTTCATGTGTTTTTTTTTTTATTTTTTTTTTATTCTGAATAAAAACAGGCCAGCTCAGGGCTGTGCAAATGCTTAATAACACAGCAATCACAAATGAGATGAAGCTTTGGAATTTAGGACAGAATCTGTTACTCACCCTCCCAATGCCCAAACAAAAGCCTCTGGAAAACAAAAAATAATTAGAGGGGTGCCTAGTGCCCTCCCGGCTCCCAACTATTGGTGGCAGATGGGGGCCCTAATAGTAATAATGGGGGCTGGAGGGTTACAGAGAAACACGGAGGGGCTGGAGAGGTTAAGGAGACATATGGAGGGTCTGGGGGTTAATGAGCCACAATGAGACACATGGGGGATAAGGTGGGGCTGAGGCTTAAAGAGATACACAGAGGGGTTTAGGGAGACATAAGGAGGGGCTGGGGAGGTTAAGAAGGGTCTGTTGTAATGAGACACATGGGGGGCTGGAGGGTTAAGAAGACACATGAAGAGACAGGAATGATTAAAGAGACACAAGGTGGGGCTGGAGGAGTTGTAGAGACATATAGAGGAGCTGGGAAGGTAAAGGAAGGGCTTGGTGTTAATGAAACACATGGGGGGTTAAGGGAACTCAGGGGACTGGGGGCTTAAGGAGACATATGCAGGGTCTGGGGAGGTGGTAAAGGCACACAGAAGGGCTGGGGGGGCAAAGAGACATAGAGACATAGAGAGTATGCAGGGCTGGACTGGCCCACCGGGATGCCAGGAAATTTTCCGGTGGGCCGTCGACACCTGGGGCTGGGCAGACAGCTGGCTGACCTGCGGCCGCAGGGGGAGTGTGCTCTTCTGGCGGCCGCAGCGGGAGCTGGCTGTTCTGGCTGTTCTGGCTCTGTTCCCCCGGCCCTCCCACGCTACTTAATAAGACCCAGAACGGAAGATGACGTCATATTCCGGCCCCAGTCTCATTAAGCTGCGTGCTGGGGAGCAGAGACAGCACAGCCAGCTCCCCCTGCGGCTGCCAGAAGAGCTCCTCCTGTGGTCGCCATCAGAGCTCCCCCTGCTGCCGCAGGTCAGCCGGCTGTCTGCCCACAGGTAGCAATAATGTGTGTCAGTGTGAGTGTATGTGTGTCTGTGTCATGGTGTGTGTGTGTCTGTGTCATGGTGTGTGTCTGTCTGTGTCATGGTGTGTGTAGCGCATTACGTTTGGCTGTCCATAACTTTTCTTATTGCAACATTATTTCCTATGGTTTAGTTACTTGTATGTACTGTATTTCATAAGCATTCGTCTGGTTGTTTGGTAAAAACGGAATAGATACAGAGTTGAATACCTCCGTTCGAACAAACTACCAAACAACCAGACCACCCCGGAGAGACGTGTGGCTCTAACTTACCTCCCCATCGGCTTCTAACACCAACCTAATTGCAAAATAGACGAATGCACTGTGTATTCCCTTGGTGGGCGCCGTTCGCCATACGAACACGTGGCGGCGGCCATCTTGCCATACGAACGCCCAGCGGTGTTTGGTCGTCGAGTGTCTTGAACCCAAATCAGACACTCGACTACGTGAACACTGCAGAGTCCTCCATACTTCCACCCGGCCCGGCATTCGGTAGAAAGATACCCACGAACAAGGGGATTCATACGAATCCAAGCAAAGTCTATTCTGGTCAGTATTTTCATGTCTTTTATCCCACGAACAGAGACCGACCACAAGGCCAGAATATATGGAACTGCTTTCGGCTATTGCCTCGTGTGCGGTTGGTCAAACAAACACTTCCATGAAATTCCTGAACCCCT